CTTAATGAGAAAAAATACATGTTAATCAATCTGGTTAACTTTGAGGAAGACCTCCATTACAGAATGATTCATTGCATAGATTTGAACTAAGAGCAGTCATGTGCTCAGAGCTAATATTCTTTTCATTAAAGAAAGTTTGCAGGTGCTTACTTTGAGCTCCAATTGGAGTTTTTGCTTAGGCACAGCAGATTCTCACCAGCATCTTCCATGGCTCTCTGTGAGCCCATTTCTGTAGTTCATGAATCACAGCTCACAAAGCACAATGGGTTGCGGAGAGGAGAATTCACACAGTATGAACCCTCTCCATGTGTTACAGCTCTTTTTCTCCCCTCCTACCTCTCTGTCTTTTAAAATTTATTACCTTTTCTTGCTTTGCTGCTCAGAGGAACACAGGCTTTTTCCTGTAAGCCAAGTTCTTTATGATCACTCTAAATTTGGATGGAGCTCACAGCGGCTAGGTCATTGTAATACAGTTTCCAGGATTCATGGGGTGGTCTAGGTTGAGTCGGAGCACTCAAGTGCATCCATGCTGATTGCTCATGCTCTTTTTCTTTCCGTCTGAACTTTGGCTTTTCCCTTGGTTCTATCGACCTTCTCTGGGATTCCAATTAATTGGCCTGAGCTGCCACAAATATTGGTAATCATGGGATGGCGATGAAGTAAACAAACCTTCCTGTGTCTAAATGATTGTGTAGTGCAAGGAAAGTTTCCAAATTAAGTTCACATGAACTTAATTTTTGTCTCCCAGCCCTAGCTGTACATGAGAATCATCAATTAAACTTAACTCTCCGAAGGCAGAGTCTGAACATCTCTGTTTCAGATCTCCCTGGGTAATTGCTAATGAGTGTTCAGGGCTGAGAGCCACTGATGAGCTACCAGAATGCAGGCTATTCTACTGTGTAGGGGATTGATGAGCAAGCCTACAATCACATTTTTGAACCTGAAAAACTTAACCAGATAAAAATAGACCTGATTCTTACTGCTTTATGAGTTTCTCATTTAAATTCTAGTTTGAAATCAAATTTTATCTATCTCACCTGAAAACACTGAAATAATGAAATTTACTTGGTCTCTTAGAAAACAAGGGAAGAATATGGTCATATAGGATGAAACATCATTATGTTAGGGTTTGGCAAGGAAACAGCCTTATTGTGAACTTCAAGTGTTAAAGTGAGAAAAGAGCACCGACTGTTATCAGCCCCAGGAGGAAAATGATAAAACCCATAGTATAAATGCACTCACTGTAGGATAAAGTGCCTTTTGATGGAATTTTACTGCATGTCACATTTGGAATACACCCTTGAAATCCTTTATGCCTAAATCTAGACCACAGAAAGGATTCATTACAATCCAATTAAATTAAAATGCTAAAATTTATTAAAAATTTTTCAAGCTGTTTTTTTGCAATTATAAGACTGTTTCAGAATACCTTAGTTAAATGACTAAAACATTAATTTGATCTCATATATTTTCCTTTTAATTACCATTCACAACATTGAAATAGCCGTAGGAAATAAAAGATGCTATCTTAATGATATATATATTTTAAAAGGGACCATAAGAAACAAAATAAATACCAAACCAGCACCACACACACTAAAAAACTTATTTCTCATTTTCATCAAAAAATTTAAAACACTGAAAGTTAATTCCCAAACCACTAATGAAAGAAAATGGACATGATAGCACATATATAAACAAGGAGATTTTCGTGTATGTTTAATAAACTGGCACAAGTGTATGAGACACTAAAAAAAATCAATTAACTTGAGAATAAATATATGACAGTAATTTTGTCCTTTAGGAACTAACAGTTAAGTAGGAGAAGGCAAGAACATTTAGATATCAGTAAAACAGGATGAAATGTGGGAAGCTCTTTAATAGAGGTGCAGACTAGTGTGGAAGTAATGACTACCACTCCCACAGCAGTGTCAAAGTACTATTCCCCTGAGAGAAAATCCAGAAATGTTCCTTGAGTTGGGGTAATATTTGAACAAGGTTGAAAGTAGAGGAGAACTTCAGAGTGATGTTGTAAAGTGGGAAAGGATGTTCCAGGGAGAAAGCGAGCTACTTCAATGAAAAAATGAAGATAATTGAATTAAGAAAATAGAATACTTTAGAGTGGTGTGTAGAGATTAACGTAATGTCAGGGACACACTGTGGAATGTTTTCAATGAGAAGCTGCAACTATTCTCTATGTAGTACAGAGCTCTCATGGTTCTTCAGAAAGTGTGGCTTAGATCCAATTTAGAAGGATTATTTCAAAGATGGTGTTAAAAACTAACCTGGAGAAGATAATGGCTAGATATAGAGAATTTGGTAGGCTATAGAGTAGTACTACACTCAAGAGATGAAGAGGACCTGTGCTAAGGCCCTGGGAATAGAATGGATGGACTCAATTTAGAAGACATCTTTGATTTCAAAACAGCAGAGTTTGAAGAATTGTTATAGGTGAAGCATGAGCAAATGTTATGGCAAAAAATACTAGGGATATGTCTATTTTGCAAAAGAAACATTTCCAGCATATGTAAGATTAGCAAAGTGATGTTGAGAAGGTTGTTCTGATGCAAATTTTGAAGAATATTTTGGAAATCATCATATTGTTTAACATATGTTATAAAAAAGAAAAATAAAGAATAAGCATGAAAGTTAAAAGAAGGCAGCAAATTGAAAGCCTAAAGTCACAAAGAGCTACAAGAATGGCCAGAGTAAGGGGAAAGCAGCACTAAAATGTGAGTGATGTCTCAGAGACATGAGACAAGGTAGTAGAGGATATGGGTGAGCAGAAGTTGGAACAGATAAATATAGGAGGCATAGATGGGGCAAATTACCCTCCTTATAAATAGATGGGAAATCCAAAGATACTACAAAGCAAAAAACATGGTTAACAGGAGGAATTGGCCTTAGTGAATAATTTTGTGTGATTCAGAAGGATGGAGAGGATGGAGACTAAATGTGAAGACCATGAGCAGGATGAACCTGGTAACGAATTGTTACCTTGTTGTACTACTAATAAGATAAAAGCATATCAACAGAAATTTTGTAAAGAATAGATAAATACAAAGTATTATTTTCTTTTCCTGATAGATTAAATAAGAGCTGGTTGCCACTATGGATTTGTTAATCACACTTTAGCACCAGACACCCACCAACTTATAGCCTGCCTTCCAAGTGGATTTCAAGGTCAGACTTTGATCCTTACAGGGAAGATTGATGAAATGGGGTGAAAGACATATGTGCCGATGGGGAAACCGGAACAGTCCTGACCTGGACAGTAAGGCCCCAGGAAGCCCACTGATTCTAGATTGAAACCAAGTTATGTTTTTAAACTTTATTTTATATTTAGATAAAAATCATTATTTATATTTATGAAGTATAGTGTGGTGGCTTGATATGTGTATGCGCTGCGGAATGATCAAATTAGGCTAATTGGCATATCTCTCAACTTAAATATCATTTATTTGTGGTGAGAATATTTAAAATATGCATTGCTATTGACCATAGTCACTGTGCAACAGAATAACAGAACTTATTTCTCCTATCAGCTGTAACTTTATACCAGTTGATCAATATCTCTCTTTTCCTGTCCATCCCCTGCCACCAGCACCAGCCTCTAATAACCACTATTCTACTCCCTACATCAACGAGTTCTATTTTTTTTAGATTCCAGGTATTAGTGAAATTATATGATATTTGTCCCTCTGTGTCTGTCTTATTTCACAGGACGTAATGTTTCTGGATTCACTTGTGTTGTTGCAAACAGCAGAACACAAGCAACCAACATATGTATGACATTACTAATCATCATAGAAATACAAATTCAAACCCCCAATGAGATACCACCTTCGACGAGTTATATTCACTAATATAAAAAAGATGCAAGATTGCTGGGAGCCATTAGCCAAGTAAGTATGACAATTTCCTTGCCAGCGTACCCCATGTTGCAGTGACATTGAATGTACTTAACCTTGCTCAAGGACCAAGGCAGATTAGGGTGTTCCCGGTTTTAAGATAATCTTGTTTAGGGCGTTCCCAGTTTAGGTTCCAGGTTTAAGGTTTAAGATTATTCCTGCTGGGAATAGGGCGTATCCTGCTGCCTGAGTTCCCCTTGAGTTCTCACGGGATTCAGACAGTATATTTTGGAGATAGAAGCCCAGTGGAGGTGGATTTTGGGCAGAGAACGTGGATTTGGGAAGAGAACGTGGATTTCCCCAGAACGTGATTATAGACGGCTGGTGTGAGTTCGGGAATAAAGAGTTGCTGTTTGAATCTACAAGCTGTGTGGTGGCTCGTGATTGTGTGCCCAGCCAGACTGTGGCACAAGATAACAATTGTTGGGAGGATGTGGATAAAAGGAAACCCAACACAGTGTTGGGGGTATTGTAAATTACTGAGATCATTTTAGGAAAAAGTATGTAGACTCTTCAAAAGATAAAAAATAGAATTATCATATGATCTAGTGATCCCACTACTAAGTATATATTGAAAGGAAATAAAATCAGTATGTCAAATAGACATGTGCATTCCCATATTCATTGCATCACTATTTGCAATCACCAAGATATGAGAACAAATTCAGCATCCACCAACAGATATATACATTTTTTTAAAAAATGTGGTCTATATACACAATGGAGTATTTTTTAAAAAGCTGAATTAAGTTTTAAGTAATGTGACACTCCATTGGAACCAGTAACAGTGACAATATACAAACACTTAGTTTGGTGGGTTTAGTGACATTTGAATGGTGTTGGAAGATTTCTGTCTAGTAATTAATTCCTGTCAAGAATTAGATGTGTAATAAGAATTGTAATGCATTCCTCTGTTATATATTTTAAAAAATAAAATCAATTAAATAAAAAAAAGAATTAGACCATTTTCTTATTCAATTGGATGGGACATAAAATGTCACCTTTGCTTCTGTTATATTTTTAAGCAGAAAAAAATTAAGGGGAAAAATATAATTACATCATGTGGGATGCAGATGTAATCACACTTACCAGAATAATATTGAGGACAGATACAAGTGTATCTTCCTATCTCATTGAGACACGTAGCCCCATTCTTGCAGGGATCTGAAACACATTCATTCACTTCCAAGTCACAGTGCCTTCCTTGATATCCTGGGACACAAAAGCAGGAATAGCCATTGATGCCATCCTGGCACACAGCCCCATTGTGGCAAGGGCTGGAAGCACAATCATTGTGATCTATTTCACAGAATCTTCCAGTGTATCCAGCAGGGCAGATGCAGACAGGGTCGACAGGGTCTTGGTGGCAAATACCACCATGTTGGCAGGAGTTCATACCACAGGAACCAGTGGTAATTTCACAGGTGATCCCACTATACCCAGGAGGACATTGGCACTGAAAGCTCCTTTTTCCTGGGGTGTTCACACAAGTGGCACTTCCTTGACAGGGACTGGAGAAACAAGGATCTCTCATGTTGTCACAGTCTTTGTCCAAATTATTGGTTATGTCTGAACAATGGCAATTGCTGTCTTGTGAAAAACCTTTGCATGCAGAATTGTTTTGGCAAGAATTTGACAGGCACCTGGTGTTGTTTTTATTGCAAAAAGAATCTACGAGAAAATAAAAAATATCAAGATTAAACTTATAAAATTGTTGAGGGTAAAATTAAAGAACATCTTTCTTTTAGACCCTATGTCACCTCAAATTCATTAATGAAATACATAGTTGGCTGCATTCTAATGGTGAGTTTTAATTCCCCACTTGTCAAAATTTGTTATGTAGTTGCTAATATGAAACACACAAAAAAAGGCTGGTTTGAGATTCTTTCTTCTCCTCCTTATTCCCTTTCTCAGGTATAAGATAATGTGAGTTGAAGTAACCATTAACACTTCCTATATACTTAAAATTTTGAAAATCACATTCTCTCATGGGAGACTTTGGGAATATTGGGAAGTGAATTACAAAATTCTCTCTGAATAAGATATAACTAATGTTTAAGTGAAGACTGTTATTTGGTTTTTGACTGTTTTATCACAATTCCAACTTATGCTCTAAAGAGAAATGCACAGAAAAATGATAAAAATAAAATTCTGGTTATTTACTGAAGTTGTTTATGCACTAAACATTCCATAAATTTTACATATATTCTTTCTTATTCTCACTACAACACAAAATAATTATGTAAACTTTACAGTTTTAAGACAGATTAAGTCCAGTCACAAGGACATTGATGTAGTAAAGTTTGTGCAAACTTTCATTTTCCTAAAATCGTGACTGTTCTAGGAATGTATTTTAAAAAATATATTTGGAACAACAACCTGCATTAAAGCAATAATTCTTTGATTCTTTCCAAATTGATCATATACTCGCGTGAGTATGTTTTCCCTGAACATATAGGCATTCTTATTTTCTTAATCTTATATATTGAGAAGTTCTATAATTTGACACCTCAGTTGTGTCAGCCCATAAAATACAGTTTTTTTGTGTGGAATCAGATAATACATTGTTCTTTTAATTCCTTTCTCACAATACTGCCCCAAAGCGTAATAGCAGATTATAAACAGTACAAGCTTGTAATAGAAAACAGAAAAAAAAATTCTCTTAAATCATAAGACACAAATACGCCTTTATAAAGGATGGACCATCTTCTTAGGAAAACTCCTTATCCCTCTCTCTCTTTTTTTTTCTGTTGGTTCTGTTTCATGGAGAACTCAGATTAAAGCAGATTTTGGTACTGGAAGCAGCTTCTACAGGTACAGATTGAGGGTTTTATGAGATTGTTAATAGACTTTTATCCATTTGCCCTAGAACTTTTCTTTCTGGATTGGTTCTCTGAATGGACTAGGTTTAAAGATACTAATGACTCTATTGCCAATAATAAAGAGAGCAGTAATTGTTATGTGATCTGGTAATGTAGACATGCAAAGTTTGACACTGGATACTTCTTATAACCACTTTTTAAAATCAAGCAGCTGAAAGACTGTGAACATAATATATTCAAGCATTTTTTGGAAACTGATACATATAGAAAGAATGGATGCTGATTCTTTTCAGGACCTACCTCCAAAACATCTCTTTGCTTCTAAGACCTATAATTAGACTCAAGTCCCAGTGGGGGAAAGGTATTTCCATAAGGAGTTACACTGCAAACAGCAACAACAAAAAATTCTATTTGAATTCTAATTTACACAGTCAGAAATCCAAAAAATACATGTGGGAATAGATATTGAGGTGACTACAGAAGGACCATGAAGCTGGATCTGTCTGAACTTATCGATAAAATCTCCCTGAACAAAAATCCTACCTTTAATGTTAACAGCTCAGAGTTTTAAAAGTTTATTGACTGAAACAAAAGGTTGTAAATGAATTTAAAATGTTGGACATGACTTAGTTGAATAAAGGAGAAAACATTCAAAAGCTTAGAGAGCTTGGAATATTTATTTATTTATTTATTTATTGGTGCTGGGGATTGAATCTAGGGCTTTGTGCATTTGAAGCAAGCACTCTACCAACTGAGCTGGAATGTTAGAGCAGATATGTCATTAAGACCTATTCACACTCTGGGACATGCCTGTCATCCCAGTGACTCAGGAGGCTAAGGTAGGAAGAATACAAGTTCAAAGACAGCCTTAGCAACTTAGTGAGGCCCTAAGCAACTTAATGGCACCCTGGCTTAAAAAAAAGGGGGGGGGGCTGGAATGTGGCCAAGTGGTAAAGTGCCCATGGGTTCAATCCTGGGTCCAAATAAAAAAAGAAAGACCTATTCCCCCACACCAGAAGAGGCTAGAAGAATTATCTTTTACAACTACAACAGAGGTGTCTATCCGCATATCAGATAAAGTAGACTTCAAGTCAAAGTTAATCAGAAGAGATAAAGAAGGCCATTTCAAACTGCTTAAGGGTACTATACATCAACAGGGCATATTAATATTTATGCCTCAAACAGTGGAGCAACTATATACATCAGACAAACCCTTCATAATCCCAAGAATCAAATAGATCACAACACAATAAAACTGGGTGACTTTAACACACCTCTCACCAATCGATAGATTTTCAAATCAAAACTAAATAAAGGAGCGATAGAAATAAAAAATACAATTAATAAGTTAGATTTAACAGGCATATTTGTAATATTTCATCCATAAACAACTGAATACACTTTCTTCTCAGCAGCAATGGATCATTCTCTAAAATAGACCAATATGCTAGGCTACAAAGCAACTCTTAGCATATACAAAAAACTGAAATAATACCTTGAATTTTTTTCAGATCATAATAGAATAAAATTAGAAATCAATGATAAAATTTAAAAAAGTAGAAGTTATCTAACATCAGGAGACTAAATAATACACTATTAAATTACCACTGGATAGCTGAAGAAAACAGGAATGAAACAAAAAAATATTTACAGGTAAATGAGAATAGCAAGACAATATCAAAATCTTTGGGACAGTAGGAAGGCAGATCTAAGAGGAAAGTTCATTGCATTGAACTCATTCATAAAACAAATAGAAAATCACCAAATAAATAACCTAACTTTATATCTTAATGCTCTAGAAAAAGAAGAATAAATCAACACTAAAAGCAATAGAAGACAGGAAATAATTAAAATGAGAGCTGAAATTAATGAAATTGAAACAAAAAAATAAGAAAACAAATACATTGGTTCTTTGAAAAAATAAATAAAATTGATAGATTCTTAGCCAATCTAATGAAGAAAAAGAGAGAGAAAACTCAAATTACTAAAATTCATGATAAAAAGGAAACATCACCAAGGACACCACTGAAATACAGATGATATCAGAAGCTACTTTAAAAATCTATACTCCAATAAAATCGAGAATCATGAAGACAAGTGTACTCATACATTACTGGTGGGACTGAAAATTGGTACAACCACTCTGGAAAGCACTGTGGAGACTGCTTAGAAAACCTGGAATAGAACCACCATTTGACCCAGTTATCCCACTCCTCAGCTTATACCCAAAGGAATTAAAATCAGCATACTATAGTGATACAGCCACATCAATGTTTATAGCAGCTCAATTCACAATAGCAAAGCTATGAAACCAGCCTAGGCGCCCTTTAGCAGATGAATGGATAAAGAAAATGTGGTAAGTGTACACAACAGAATACTACTCACCTATAAAGAAGAATGAAATTATGGCATTTGCTGGTAAATGGATGGAACTGGAAAATATAAAGCTGAGTGAAAATAAGCCAGTCTCAAAAAACTAAAGTGAATGTTTTCTCCAGTATGTGAATGCTAACCCACAACAAGGGAGAATGGGTAGAGGAAGAATAGAAGTTCATTGGATTAGACAAAGGGGAATGAAGGGAAGGGAGTGGGGAGGGGATAGGAAGGGCAGTAGAATTAATCATACATAATTTTCCTATTGTTGTATTTGAACCCATGACCAGGATAACTCCACATCATGTACAACCACAAGAATACAATCTTAATTAGTATAAGTTAAACCCATGTATATATGTATAATATGCCAAAATACACTCTATTGTCATGTATTTATAAAGAAGAACAATTAAAAAAAAAAACACATCTGATGACCCAGCACAAAAGTGATTAGTGGAGTGAGGGATGCCTATCAAGTTCTTCAAGCTCCAAGATTAATAATCCAGTCAGTATTTCATGATTTTAATTTCTTATTTACATAATTAAGAGGCCAGGTACAGTCTTGTGGTTTGACACAAGGGGAGAGGAAGCATTTCCATTAGGGTCTACTTGTGGTCAGCTGTTGCTAGAGATAATAAGGGCAAATGTAATTACAGAAGGGCTGCTGTGGTTGAAGAGGTAAGAAACAGAAACAGGTGTTGTAACTAAGATGGAGTGGCTGTGGTTGAAGTTGTCAGGGGGTAGCAATCACAGGGTGTCTCCAGACCTGGTGTCTCCTTTCAGGTTGGCATGGTGCCCCCTCCCCTCCTGTCTCAAGGCCCGTCTCCTGGCTGCCTGTGGGAGAGCTATGTTCTTTCCTCAATATCATTTAAAATTAGGAATTATGAAGTTTCCAGTTCTGTTTTTCTTCAAAATTGTTTTGGCTACTTGAGGTTTTTGGAAAGGTCCTTATAAATTTTAAGATTTTTTTTTGTCTTTCTAGCAAAAATGTCATTGGAATTTTTATAGAGATTTAAAAATCTGTGAATCATTTTGAATAGCATAGACATTTTAACAATACCATGAAATATCTTTATTTTTGTCTTCTTTAATTTGTTTTGTAGTATGAGCATACAAGTTTTATACTACCTTGGTTAAGTTTAATCCTAAGTGAAAGAACGAACAAGGCTCATCGTCGGAGAAAATGCCCGTTTATTGAGGAACAGCTCTGCATATTTATAGAGCCTGGGGCGGTTTGACAGTTATGACAGTTTAACGGTTTGACAGTTGGCACGGGGTGCTTTCTGATTGGTGGGTAAGGATCATGTGAGTCAGCAGGGCTCACCATTGGGTGGCTCTTCTGAGGGGGATGGGGAAGTTTGTCTTGGAGCCCGGGCGACTCCCAACACTAAGTACCTTTTTTTTTTTTTTTTTTTTTTAATCAAGTGGTAAATGATATTGTTTCATTCATTTCTTATTCAGATTCCCATTGTT